TAAAATTCCTTTTGACTTGAGCTCCGCACCCAATGCTTGTGACCACGTGTTCATGAACGCCTTGGAACCCGAATATATCGACAAATACGGTGTAGCGATCATTCCAGAAAAAGAACCAACGTTAATGATCAGGCCTCTATTGCTGTGTTCCAAATGGAAGTTGGTAATCATTCAGGCGCGTGAAGCGAGCGATTTGTACAGTTAAAGACGAAGATGACATACCTGGGCAGCATTCTCGGCAATACAATCTTCGTAACCTTCAAAAGTCCAAAGATATTCACCTCAATAATATTACGAATCAATTCGTCGGTTTCAAGAATGAATGGTGTTGGAATATCATGATTTGTGGCGACATTGTTCACCAATACCCCAACATCAAGTTGGTCAATTAGATTCTTTAGATTTTCGTAATCTCGGGGGTCGCTCTTGGTGAAATCCATGGCGAACACTTTTGATTCGACGTGATATTTCTTCTCTATTTCATCATGTAAAATCGGTTGCATATACTTAAAAATCTAACGATGAAAATATTTTGATTCGAAAAAGAAGAATAAACAAACCAATTTCTTCTTTCAGTTCTTGTAATTTAGACAACGTTCGAGACACCAAGAGAATATTAAATTTAGCGGCCGCTAGTTGCAGGGCAAACTCCTTCCCGATACCGTCGGATGCGCCGGTAATGACTATTTTGAAAAAATTCGGACCACAGTAAGCACACTATTCATAGCCCATAACTACCAATTAATAGAGGTGAATTTCTACCTGCCCAGGCGCCCGTTCCAGCTCCGAAACTCTTCAACTGGAAATTTTGTGCTGGTGAGGGACGAATTGACGAGGTTGCAGATAAAAATTTGTAAAGAAATGGAAAAACGTATGCTTACGCTTTTTCCAGGTCGCACATAGACGTCAAATAACAACTTTACAAAGCTCAAAGTCTTTAAAGATACGACAGAGGCGCCGACGACCGCGAGAGTGGCAATTGCAAGACTTGCAAGCTGATTCTCTATATTAATAATAAAACGTCGTGTTCGCGAAAAGGTGAGTTCGCGTTTATGGAAGGCGCGTTATTTTTATTTCATAAATGGCACAACAGAAATGTAACCTTGAAGTGCTTGAAGGAAATTTGTATTCAGCGACATCCTGACAACTTAGACTTCTTTGAGAGTAATGTTTTTATTGAGAAATCATCAATGAATAAATAGCGTTTTTTTTTTTACTATCGATTTCCAAAATCTTACAATATCGGAGTGCATTTACGATATATGTATTAATGCGAAATTTTTTGACTGAATGTCACATGGTTTAATGATTGATATGTTGCACTGTTTATTGTAAAGCAAAAATGTTTGATCTGTTTTTTTTAGACTCAGACAAATTCGGCTTGCGCACAATAAAATAATTATCTTTCTTAAAAAGGTTTAACTTGACTTGACTTGATTGACAATGAACTCCATTGCCTCCGATTTTAGAACTTCTTTGACAGGATACTTGAGTGAGACCTCGTACGCACAGTTTATAACCGTATCGGTGATGTTCATAAAGTTTCTGCTCAGCGCATTTATACAATTACATACGCGAGCAATTGTTTCCCGAGTGGCCTGATCGATCGGCTTTAAAAGGTGATGATGATTAGTGAAAAGGTGAAGTTCGTTTAGAATGAGACGTAGATTCGAGAAGCCAACCTCATTTTCATTGGAATATATCGATTCGGGATCCACCTCGTCCAAAGGTTTGGAAGAATGTTTGCTGACCCACACATATCCATTCAATCCCAAAGTGACATCAATTCCGCATGATAATGTGTGAAAATGCGTCTTGGAACGTTGGATGAGTGCCGGTGGGACAGCGAGGAATGATCCATTACGGAGCTAAAAGAAAGTCTTTGTCAACATTCGTAGAATAACGTCTTTACAATGACTTTTTTTTTTTTGCGTCATATACTTTGCCGTATTTCAGATTTCGCGTGTGCAAGGATGACGAACCATCTTGAAATGTTCCTTGAACCTCTGCCTGCATTCGATAGTAAAAATTTATATTATCAGAAAATAAAAATGTGTAAGAATGAATGAGTATGGTCAGGAGTGGAATGAAATACCGCCAATAGATCTCCTTCGATGAAAAATTTTCTCATTTGAAGTTCATCAGCTTCGGTCTTACGTCTCTACGTTTCATTGAATACAGGTGGTCAGTTGACTAGTTAGTGTCTTTATATTATGTACGTGCGGACAGAAATCACTCACCCACCTGAACTCCTCCGGGAAGATTAATGGCGGACAACAGCAACACTGCATCTTGACGTGAATTTATGTCAACTTTCCATCGTTTGTTTGATACCTGAAATGATTTCAGGTTAACAAATATCAAACGAAAACAGTTGGACAACGAATACCAACACACCTCGGTTATCCGACCAATCACCAAATCACCAATATTCCCAGTATACCTGGTCAACAAATATTCCTTAGCTTTGTAAATTTCCCTTTGATAAAGTTTTCATATACCTCGCGTGTAGAGACCGCACAGAGATCAGATTGTTCACCCTCTCCACGACACCAGCTACAGAGGAGAAATGAGTTTCGTGATCAAAGTAGGTTCCATGTCCCCTACGAAAAAGGTTTCGAAATGTAAGATTTTATTCATCAAGGCATGAGTGGACGTTGTTATTTGACATTACCCCATATATTTTGTGTCATGGGTGATCCCTTCTCCCGGTATGACCACATGTTTCTCAAAGTTTTCCCTTTGAGATTTTAAGAGCATGTCAATATCTCCATCGGAATCCTTTTTTTTTTCTTCGGTAGAAGATGGCTTGGGAAAGAGAAAATGAACGCTCATGACTGAAAGCAAAAGCATTCATTTCAACGCGTCAAACTTAAAAACTTCTCATTGTAAATTTCACGTGCCCACCGTGTGACATTGACAATAATTTTTCGAATTCGTTTTTTTTTGAATCAGTTAGACCAATGTATTCTTCTGTTTTTTCTCGTTCAGCTCTACGCGCTCGTGCCGTGATTCGCCCAACTCGAAGCGATGTTTATCACTGGGAAAACGTTGATGGCTCGGTGAGAGGCTAAAGACAATTTACCAAATTATCAATTCGCAAGTATTTCTGACATTCCTTGTAAAAAAAACGTCGACACAGCATCTTCCTTTTAGTACTAAAAGTAGAGTTGGACTCGCCATAAAAATGACTATGTTTTTAGGTCTCGGGTTTGCCGTCCCCGTCATTGGTAAGGAGAGAACTTTTGTTTTTTAATTAGAACAAAAATAATAATAATAATATATATATATATATATATCTGTATACTAAATATTTTCTCTAATCTAGGTGCTTGGTGGCAATTGTACGTCATTTGCAACTTGCATTTTTCTTAAATCCTATTTTGTCTTATATTAATTACATGAACGTTTATTCTTCTTAAAACTTAGTCACAAAGCCGGAAAACCTTTTTATAGACCTGGTCCACCTCCTTCCTAGACATTTCCCGACTCGTTGGTAGGAGAATGTAAAGTGTGCACATGTCTTAATGAGAATCATTATTGCGTTGTCGCACAAACTCGCAGCGAGGATTAATTTCATATTTAACTGAAGCTCATTCTACAATATACACGTTCAATAAATACTCTCGAGACAAGATTTTAATCATCCTCATCATAATCTGCGCTGACCAAAGAAATAGTGACTACAAATTAATGAGAATGAGATGGTCGTTTGAGCGAAAAATGATTCACGGGAAATCTGAAGTCTAGAAGAAAGTTTTATCTTATATCTCTCTACCTTCACTTGAATTGGTATTTTCATTGGGATTTACGTTTGACGCTTCTTGCACTTTTGATTTGTTATTTTCAACTTTCTTTGCATCATCTTTCTTCTTGACGAGAACCAATTCTTTGTTAACTTCACCACCACCTTTTCCGGCATTATCGCCATTCCAATCATTGTCTTTAAGAAAAGGGTCTATTTTAAGTTTTGTGTTCACCGAGATCATCGTGGATAATTGGGCAATCTTGTTTTTAGGATCGTTGGAGTTAAAAATTGATCTTTTGGATCTTGATGATTTGTTAAATATCGACGAGGTGTTGACTTCAAGCTTTCGCTTCTGAGCTCGTATGAGATGATCTAAATGCAAATGATGATGTTTAAAATTATCATCCACTCAATGTGGTTATCTCCCCTCGAGGATTGTTCTCGAAATAAAAAAATTCACCCGCAAATTCTGTGGCTTTGGCTTCAACCTCGTCCTCTTGCGATTCTGGTAATAATGGAATTGACAACGCGTTCCGATCTCGGATTTCTTCATCTGCACGTCTCTTAGCTTCCAAGATCTTTTTCTCTTCCTAAAATTGAGTAATTTATGTTATTACTCGATATCGAGATTCGGTGCGTCGGATGAGAAACGATGGAATCAACAAGAAAAGAAAACCGAAAAAAACTCACTCTAAATTTCTTTCGCAGTCTCTGGGAGTGCGTATATGGGTCTGCCCATTGCCTTTCATTTAGTCTCTTATTTTGAGATATACAATTAGTCGTCGCGTATGATAAAGTAAAAAAATATTTAAACCAGAAAAAATAAATAAATATATATTTATTTATTTATTTATTTTACCTGTAGTTGTGTTAAAATGGGAAGAGATTCTTTTGCCTTCTGTTCATCTTTAACAGACTGTTCAAGCTTGTAGAATGCATTATCAGCCAATTTCTTTGCCTCTTCTTCATCTAAATTTATCACAGTTTAATTGTAAGATGAAGTGCACGACAACCCAATACCGCTGCAATAATAAAACCTTTAAGCTCAATAGTCTCGTTGTCCTCGGGCTCCCATGTCTCGACTTTCTTGCGAGCACCGGCAACCACCAAGTATTCCGCATTCTATGTAAAAAAAACGGGACGCGTTATTCGCATAACCGAAACAAACGATCGATCGATCGTCGACAAGTATGATTAAAGCCAATGACTGTTGCTGACCTTTGGATCCGTGTGTATTTCAATCCAATTATCACACAGATGACATTTCATCCGAAAACT